GGTTTGTCAGAAGTCAAATTAGCCTACAGGTAGCCTACAATTTGCCAAAGTAGGACGGTTTCTCAGAACACCCGGCTGTTATATTCCTCAGCTTGCCTGAGTGACAGTGAAGCAGGCAGCATTTCCTGGTCTTACAGCTTATTTGTAGTGGGAAAGAACTAAAATGGAGAAGTGGCTAACAGAGTCAAATTCACAAAGGAAAAATATTTTAGAAAATCAAAAGGAAATACTTCATTACAAAGTCATGAAACCTGTTCTAAACATTGAAAAAAAAACCCTCACCTGTGGTTATTGTGTTTGACAGAAAGGAAATAAAACAACTTTACAACCAAGGTATATCGACTAATACAGTTTACATATTTAAACTGAATTTGGGACAATTACAAAAATATGAAGGATGCAGGAAATGTAATTGTTCATCTGTTTTATGAATTTTCAATAAAATAAAATTATATGGAGTCAAAACAATCTTACTTTAGGCAGAAATTCTGATGAAGGGTGCAAGTCCTAGGCACATGTCAGCAATATCATTTAGTAATCGAGCAACAGCTGACAGGACAAGCACAGGACATTATGATTCATGTCATAAATGTGAAACAACAGATGCAGCAGCACCACTCACCCTGCAGATGTCTGCCATTTCAGGGCTCTGAGGTTTTCTGCTGAGTATTTTCCTTAATTAAAGCTTAGTTTAATCACACTACAGACAAATCCACAAGGATTTGTATGCGTCAAAGCATTACACAGTAGTATCACTCTCTACACCAACAACGTTAAGTGCTGAACTAATGGCTAATCTGAAGATTTTTGATCCACAGTATCAGAAAGGAAAGCTTTCTCATCACAAAAACTAATGCCTGTCTTTGTTTAAATAAAACTTTCATAGAATAACAAGTCTTTTCACAATAAAGGAGAACAAAAAATGCTTTATAATTATATAACATACCAGATATAATAATGTCTTAAATGTATCAGGTTTCTTTTTTTAATGAGATCATCTGAATGCCAGTATGTGTACACAGTTTGGCTTTCTTTGTGTGCATGTACTGCCACAAAAGTGATTTTATTTATACCTGAAGCCCAGTCCCCCTCTAGGCCTGGTACGTTGCATTAATGTTTTCATGTTTAATGTGGTGGTTGATTGCATTATGACATACATTGGCTCAATAATTGGATCAGCAGACTTTCAGAAAGATCCATAAGGCAATTTCATGCTTAGGGTCACTGGTTTTATACATTTACTATGAAAGATCTTTGCCTAGCAACTGCAAATTTGGTAAACACAAGAATCATATCACGCATCAACAGGAATAACAAGACAAATTCAGCTCACAGGCCATTTGAGTAGAAAGAGCAAGCACAGAGGGAGAGTGATATGACAGAAACCGTTTGTAGGCCTAAAGAATAAGGCAGCAAGGATTAA